TTAATCAAAGCGTACGCATTCAATATAGCAATATCCATCATCCCCGTGAACACGCTCATCGACGGGCGTTTTTCTCGCCGCCGAGTTAGGTTTGTACTGCGCAATTGATCAACCCGATCAACTGCATTCATGCACAGATTATACGCGGCAATAAGTGTAGGTGCCATGAAGATTTGGCGGTGTAGCATTCGATCTTCTGTCCAGCGCTGAATCGGATACGTGCCATGACAGCAGAAGACTGCTTCAGGAGAGGAAGCATTTAGGGTTGGTGCTGAAGGTGTTGCCTTCAAGTCGTTGCTGTAAAAAATGACAAACTTTCGATCCTTGAATATAATGTAGCCGGCTTTCTTCGCTTGAACGAGATTTACCACGTACGCCGTTCGCTTCTCCTTCGTTATGCGGCGCTGGGCTTTCAGGTGCGTTTTTTGCTTTTCTTGCCACCCCGGCTCAGGATCTACTGCGGCAACTAACTCCCAACCACCTCGTGCTCCTTTATTTACTCGTTGAACAGCAGCTGCAACGGCTGGCTTATTCCATTTATCGACCAAGTTGATCCGAACAGGTCAATGCAAATGCGTTTCCCCGTCGGTGAACTTTTGCAAAGCGTGAGCGAATGTGTGACGAGTGTAGAAATTATCGGAAACGATAAGTCGACGTCCTGTTGGTGATCCCAACGCTTGGCTTTGGTGCCCCGCCATCGCAACCCACATTGCTGTAGCTGAGTCAGCCTCGATCGATACATCTTCAGCATTTAGTGTATTCCGTAGCGGAGTACGCAGTGTTGAGAACAAGTTAGTATAGCGTTCGGCAGGAGTAGATGGCATGCGGTTACCCGACGAATTATCCCAAGCCGAATGCACGTATAACGAACTCCAACCGACGACAGCATAAAACCGAACGCCGTATTTGTCGGGCTTCGATGGCAAAAATGACTTTGCTCGAGTTCGTGCCTTTGTTCGCACGGTCATTTCGTTGAGACTACTAACTCCAGCTGGCACTGCAAATTCAGCAAACCGCTTTTGAAAGTGATCCATCATATTGCGGCATCTCCATAGAGGATCTCGCTCTTTGTCGAATCCAGGTACTGTAGGGGGATGAAACGTAAGTGCGCCACGAATTTGTTGAAATCGGTTTCTTGACATCGTCTCAATGAAAGCGGGCTGTCCAAGAAAGCGACGATCAGACCAAAACTCTGCTATTTCATTCATAGGGCAGATGCTCATCCCAATTTCAAGACCTAAGTAAGCGTTAAACTCACTTTCGCTGACCTTGGGGTGGCCATCTGCAAGTAGCACGCCAGACATCCACTTCCGCACCCGATCTTTGAATGCAGCAGTGAAAAAGAGGAAGAGCACCCCATACTCGCCCTTAGCGTCGTATGCGTTAGTGACTTGATCTCCAATCGCCACATATCGGCTACTCTGTGCTCGAATGGAGCTCATGTAACTTTCAGCTATGTCGGAAGCCGCAGCGGTGGTTGTCATCTCTCCAGTGGTCGCAGCCGCTGCTACAACTCCTTCAGGCAGAAGCATCTCTGAGGCAGCGCTGGTAGTTGTGTCGCTTGTTGCAACAAGATCCCGTTCGTCGTGGCACTTTCGTCGCTGTCCTCTACTTCCCAGTCCCCAATCAATTCCTCGGTCTCAGAGGCCATGGTCTGTTAGAAGCTTGTCACGTTCGAATGTGAAGGGAGGGAGGATGAATCCTTTAACAGCTTTATATCACTGACTTGATTGCTTAACGTTCGGCTGGGATGTGCTGTCCTAGGGGTCTGACGAGACCTCTACCACCGTCGGAAGATGTACCCGTTGAAATTTGGTAGCATTATTGACCAATCAACGATCTCAATTTGATGTCGTACAGGTCTCACCAGACCTCTACCATCCCTGGGAGCTAAAGGGTTAATTGTGAAAGGCTCAACAATGAGCTCCCACTATTGAGTTAGCTAGGTGCTGATGATTTTATGGGTTCATCGAGACCTTTTATGTAGAACAGCATAATGTCCAAGCTTTAATCAAGTCATGCTTTTTACCATTTGCGTCCGTCTATCCGTTAGCATACGCGCTCACCAAACCCATAACGCTCTGGTAGTGAAAGGGGAGAAGGCACGGAGGGCTCACACGTGCACCCAAATACATGTACCGAAGCTGCACCTGGACACCATACTTTCATGTTATTGTTTTTACGAAGAAGACGGATAAGTTTTAGAAAAATAGTAAAATAGTACTGTTCATACAGATTGAATAGCGTACCCCAAATGTGAGCAAGCTTATTGATTTTAGTAGCATCAACGGATAAGTTCAAATTTCATATACGAGTTACCTACTTGGGCTATTAAACGATTACTATCGTTTTAAAGGAATCACACCAAGATGTGACATCTGACACAATAGTATGGACCATGCAAAAACCTGCTGAATAAGCAACGAATTTACAGTATTTAGTGTTAAAAGGAAAAATGTATTATGTTTAAAAACGAAGGGGTAATGGGGTAGTACATATTCTTCATTAACGGTTTGTTGAGCTAAACAATAAATGTTGCTAAGGAATCAACCCGCAAACGAACCATTTTGAGCAAATATTGGCCGTGCTGTCGCCCAGAGAAGCTTCGGGAGGGAAACACACATTGATTGGATAAAAATAAAGTTTTCTATTGAGCAAACTTAATGTGTTTCTTGTGCACGTATTGAGTGAGCGCAACAGCATCTGTGATTTTAGTGGAAGATGCGAGCTTACCAAAACAGGATGTGCCTACAGTCAACACACCTAAAACATGCTGTACGGTAAGGTGGAAGCACGGGACGACACAACACCGAAGATGACTAGATCAATGAAGACACGAGATCACGGAAGAACACCATACCACGAAACCACGGGAGTGCACGCAACCGTGGGAAGACACAGAGCACGATACCACGGTAAAAAATGATACCACATACGACGTAGCCCTGCTATGACACCACGATATCACGGAGACGCACGGAGCCACGGAAGAGCATGCAAGCATTAAACTATGTGAGAACACGTAGCAACGGGTCCATGGACGGGAGATGACCGAGTCAAGGAGTATTGTACAATGATGAACCGGAGGTCACCAAGCTACGAAGCACAAGTCGGCGATAGTTTTCGATAGAACGGCAGGCGGACCGACGAAACTATGGAGAGAACTTTAAGAGACCACGATTTCACACCGCACCACTGTAGAACTCGATAGCACGTGCATATACACTTGGTGATCACGAAAGCATAGATGACAGAGCTCCACTTCGACACTTCGACACCGCGATAGCGCGATAACGCTGTAGATTGAGACACACCAGGAAAGCACGATGCAAGGTCGACGGATTAACACAGCTACGTGGAGACGCCGAGTCCACGAAAGAGCACCCATTGACCAGGTACATGCGATGGGACGCCATGAAATATGATGCTCCACGAAACGTGTGGAATCCACGATAAAATGATTGTGAACACGAAGTATTTAGCAGCCACGTGAGGGGGCTCAAAGCCGAAGAGCATGAAACCAAATTAGAGAGCACGTAACGGCAAAGCAGTATGAGCTACGAGCGAGGAGGGAGCTACGAAGCCAGAAAGAACACGGAAGAGCACGGCTCACGGAAGAACACGAAATTTTAGCCTGTTGTACGTAGCAGCGGAAGCGTAAAAAACACGATGTTGTACCTCCATAAGGTAAGTCTTTGGCTTCGTATTCATTTTGACTTCTCTGCTGGAAACTCAGGAGAACATTCAGACACTCTCTCATAGTTGCTGAGCTTTCTAGATTTAGTTTCAACTTTCCAAAATTCGACTCGAGTCGATTGTTGGTGTGATAGCGAATAAGCGGTAGACGAGATCGACCAAACATTGTCCACATCAAAGTAGTAACCATCGAATTCTTCTGAAAGTAATCTCAAAAGGAGGTATTCCCATGTGCGCATGCAACTTTCTGTAGCATCTTTGATTGGACTACGAAATCAGCTTTAGAAGCTGAAAAAACGAGATTATGGAGCACATGCTCCATGGATTCGTAGTCGTCAAGAGAATAACGACCATTCTTGGCATTTTTTAGAGTCGCACGAAGATACTTCAGAACATGAAAGTGACACAACAGCAGCGTTGCATCGGGTAAGCTCTCGCGTATTATGTCTACCTCTTTCATGTCCTTGTCAATCATGACAACATTTATTTCACTCCAGGTTGCATTTACGTTTTTGAAGTGGCTGATCACTTTGCGAAGATGCCATTCAGAATTGGATTCAATAAAGGAATGCTGAATAAGCTGTCCGGCTCCAGGCTCATGATATTGCACAATTGATAATCGTGTCTACAGTCATATGCAAAAGGAACCGCGTTTAATTAACAAAACTAATACTTCAAAAAGCAAAGCTCACCTAATAGCTTTGTGTGTAAAATCGATCATCAACAATTCCGGAAAGTCCCGAAACACTCGACGCATGTGGCTTGTTGTAGGTGAAATCGCCCCTGCTGACCCAGTTTCAGATTCGTCGATACTGGACACGTTATCATGATCGTGGTCGTTAAGCTCGAGAAGGAACTCGGTTACAGCCACATTGTCGCTGGCTTCATCACGTAGATCCGAACAAATCCGAGCGATCAAATTTTTACATCTTTCATTGTAACCTTGTAAATCGAATGGTTCCGAATGTACTCGTAGATGCTAAGGCTCTTGCCTCCTACGCGATATGCCAGACGAACATCATCTAAAATCAACTCACACTGTGGAATTTGCCTGTTTTGTGGGTAGCTGTCGAGCTGAAATTTTTGATAAAACGTGAATGTGCTTGAGCACTGGATACCTGATCTGAACGCGCCATGTGCCATCGATAAAGCAACTCTCGGCCATAAACGTACAGGACGCGAGCTACCCCAGAGTTTTTGCAGCGGGCGATCCGTGATTTCCTACGTCAGCCGTGAGTGCAAATATAGTGTTTCCTCCGATAGGGCAATTCATCAGGCAAATATGCAACTCTTTACCTTCCCGCCTATTTCTGGAGCTTAGTAGCTGCTTGTTTCGGGGTTGCGATATTCTCCGTCGCCTTTTTCGCTAGAAGCGTCAAAGCTCGCCTTTCGTAGTCCTTGCGGTAGACATCCCACGAGACCCAATCGTCGTGAACCACCTGTAATGGATCAGCGACGAATTAGTGAAATCGTAGATGAGAGTCAAAACCAAGCCTCGTCTCTCCGTAGCCACCAGGTCCTCCCGTCGCGCGACTGTCGGTGGCCATATTTTCATTGCTGTCTTCTCTCTCGCGCTTGTGATATCGCTCTTGAGTAGGATCCGCTTCCATACTGTCAACAATTGAGCAGCACGTGCGGTTAATGCTCTTCCTTTAGATGTAACGTAAACTAAAAATAAATGACTTGAAAAAGAAAAACGAATAACTTGTTTTGCAGCCTGTTTAACGAAAAAAACAACGGAGCACCGGGACATAAATGAAACCAACCGTTGTGACACAAATACGCCATGTTTGCAAACACGACGTAGTTAATTATTCTAGGCAACATCTACGCAGAAACCACCGCTTTGTCTAAGCGTAAAGTTGTGATAATCATCATGGAGCCTCGACGCTCTACTCTGCCAGCCCATGTATCCTCTGTCCCAGATCCAACTCCTGACGATTCTGTTGAAGAGAGCGTGCAGTTAATGCTCACTACGTCCACTGCGGACGATCCTATGGGCTTAACGACTGGCTCTCTCGAGTCCGCATCTTCGCCACTTTTCGAAAGGAGGTCCATAAAGCCGCCTTCTGATTCGGAAGTACTGCTGCAGGCTATATCGTTCAACGCACAGTCGGTAACCACGGGGGTAACACTCCATGAGGCTTCTGCATGCACACAGTCAAACCTAAGTACTGTGTTAGCTCCGCTGTCGTCCGGAGATGGATCAACTGAGTCGTGCATTCTCAAATCTCCAATCGCATCGATACCAATCGAACCTACAACAGACGCAGCAGTACCAACCAACAATCAACTAAGACCACCTCCTGAGGAAGAATATGATGAGTGAAGCGGATGCAGAAGCTGTTATTCATGCGTGGACTGCCCGACATGGCTACAACGTAACTAAAAATCAACTAGAGACAAAAATGGAGACGTGATATACAGACTATTTGCGTGTGATCAATGGGGTAAACCCAAGAGCACCCGACGTCTGCGAGATCAAGATCGTGTACGCACAAATCGACGCTCCGATCGGTTCGGATGTCCTATGCGCGTCAAAGCTGTAGCTGTTGATGGTACGAATTCTACAGGACCATGGAAGATTATGTACACTCGAGATGGCTATCATATCCATAATCACCCACCTTCTCGCGATATCTGCGTGCACGTCACTCATCATCATCGTCAGTGTGCAGTCAAGATCGATCATCCTGGTAAAAATCAAAACGTAAATAGGCTTATTTTCGAACATGAAGCCGCTGGTATCTCCACGACTAGGACGTTTGCTACACTGCTTCACTCTGATAAAGATATGTTGATCATTCCAAAATACATTTTCAAACAAAAAGGCAACGCATCGACAGAATCCGCTTACATCCGCTAGTCCAATCGACGTTCTGCTTCAAGTTCTCCAAAAACATAAATTTGAATATTGCTATGAAGTGGAGAGCGGAATTAACCAACTACATTATCTCCAATGGCCACATCCAGGTACCCTGAAGCTCGCCAAATATTATTTAGATGTTTTGGTTCTCGATTGTACCTACAAAACCAACAAGTACAAGAACCCGTTACCCAACATCATCACGGTGACAGGAATGAACACTATTTTACCACTGACATATTGTTGGCTGCCTGGTGAGGCTGAGCCTAACTACTCATGGGCTTTATCGACTCTAAAGACAATGCTAATGCAGAATGGAATTGATCTTCCTCGCGGGTTAGTAACAGATAGGGCTCGTGCGTGCATGAATGCTACGGATATTGTGTTCCCGTCGGCTGCCAAACTTATTTGCCGGTGGCATGTAAATCGATATGTGGAGGCCCGGGAGAGGAACGTTTTGGGAGAATTAAGCTATCTAAACCCGATTTATTTGGGAGAACGCGAATGAACACGTGTAAGACGAACGCGTTTCTCGAAGAATATTACTCGGCCTTACTAGCGGAAACTGAAGAAAGTTTTACGAGAAGCTGTATCACCCTTCGTAAAATGGAAAGCTCAGTGGCAGACTATCTCGACAGCTTTTGGTGGACACACAAGGAGAATTTTTAATAAGTATTGGACAGATAAACACTTGCACTCTGGGATTCTCGACACATCTACGATTGAGGGACTCACGCAAAGATCAAGTTGTGGTTGGGCTCGTAAAACAATAACCTGCTCACAGTTTTCCGAAGACTTCTACCGTGGAGGAAATCAGCGGTTAACTCGTGTTAATTGAATGCACAGCGTGATGCCAGCAGAGTAGCCTGATCCGGCATTTTCAAACGTGGTGAGGATTGTGACTGCGTACGCACTTAATGAAACTTATCAGTTGTGGAATGTGGCTATTAAACATGTTCACGAGATGGTCAAAGACCCAACAAAGGAGTGAACAACGCAGCCATGTACTGGGAAATTCCGCCGCTGCAACGGAAGACCATGCGTACACGAACTGATTCATGTGTACCACTAAACTTCGTCAGCCTAGTGATTTTGATCGTCATTGGTGGGTTCGAAACGGCGGGATCGAGCGAGTTGGTGAAGTTTTGGTACCAGTTATATGAACGGCTAAACGGAGAGCAACCTATAAAAGAGTTTCACACCAAGCAGGGGAGGGCGCCAACAGCACGAGTCGAGACCTTTCTCACTTTGAAAGGATGCTGAGGCGAGTTTCACAGATAGCTGGACGGATATAGACGCGTATCCGCCTCCTCAGTGATGGGACTATGCGGGATTAAATTGAAGCTTGACGACATAGTAAAAAAGTTGAACACAGTTTACTTATTGACAATTATATATAAAATATACAGTATACAGAAGTGTTACACTTTTGTAAAATTCAAAGCTTACAGAAGTGATACATTATGTTTAAGTGTTACTTTTAGGAGCTGTTTTAGCTCGTAAAAATGCGAATTCTCCAGCAGTGTTGCTATTCTGTAAAGTTGCAGAACCATTGCAGTTTGAAAAACTATGAAGTTTACATTAGTGTAACACTCCTGTAATGAAACCGAATAAATGCTTTCGATTGAAAAGCAGGTATATCTACCTTCAACCAAAATAGTAGTGTGTTCTTGCTCTCTTCCGTACACATGCGCAATGTGTGCTTTATACCGTGTCCGCAGCGCTGCACTCATCTCTTTTTCCGCTATCATCAGCTTCACCATCACTCCAAATTAAAATGTCTGCAGACCCGCCGTCTCCACGCGGACCTTCATCTACGTCTCCATGACTTTGACGCGCAGTAGAACCCCCCCCCTCCCTCCTTCACACCAAGAGAAAAGTCGCTCATGTTTCCGTCGCACGTTGTTAGCTCGTTTATTTGCCCTTCAACACCATCGATTCCATCCATTTCAATCCAAGAGAAGTCGTTCAGATATCGCGTAGCAGTGGGCCTGATAATTTGTCGCTCTCGATTTAGAGACCTAAAGTGCGAATTGATTTTTTTGCGTTGCTTATAAACGCTTTGCGCGTGGTATTAGCTTCAACGACCGCAGCATCCGTGGCCGTAGCAGTTTCCTTGGCTTCCAAGTCTGTGTGTAATCCGTTATGAAGCTGCAATCTCGTAGCTCCCATCGAACCACTCACGTCGTGAATAATGCTCAAAATTTTCCGTCGAGCCATAGCAGTTAACTCCGCCTTTAGTGCGGAATTTATCACTTTGCTAGTTAGTTCGTCATGTAGATGGATAAATTGGCCAAACGCTCGGTCAGTTGGTGCTTCTGAGCCGGTCTAGACCGGTAGAATAGGAGCTGCGTCTTGAAAACGGTAGGTGTGTCTGCAGGCCTTCCCCTGTACGGGTAACAGGGCGGATCATTGCGGCTGTCTTGGATGCCCTGTGGGTAATCGTCGAGATTGAAACCAGGGTCCTCAACACTTTGCAGGTGGAGGTCACGCTCTGACTGTGACAAGCCTAGCCACATCTGTCTTAGAGATTTTCCTTGGCGATCCTGCAGCCATCTCTCCGTCGTTACGCGCTCGTGGGATCCATTGATTTCTTCTGTAGCGAGACGATTCCCTCGAGACGATACGGCTGGCGGCGACAGCGTTGTTATCCAGTTATAAAAGCCTTTATGCGCCCGCATGGAGGCCACCCCCTCCACGTTTGCCTTTGATGATTGAGCGGTCGCTCGGCGACGTCGTGTTTGCAAATTTGGTGTGTTAGTGACTTATCTATTGTTTGTTTTATGTCATGGTGCTCCGAAGCTCGGTGCTCCGTAGTTTTTCTCCTGTTTAACCTGCTACAACCTGGTCTTGGATGTATCACACGAAAAAATGAGTTTGACTTTTTTAATAGTTAAGTGTGATCCAATGTTCAGCCAGTAATGTAACATTCTAATTCAAATTATGTGCCCAACCTGTTACCATCTGTCCATAACCATTTGTCCTGCTACCAACCTGTTCGACCTGGTGGCAACCTCGCCCAACATGCTTCCAGCCTGTTCATCTAAGAAGCTATCTGATCAGAAATAATTGCTCAACCTGCTACCAATCCGCCTAATATGGCGGTAGCCTGGTCACGATCTGCTCAACATGTCCGAAGCTTGCCAACCTGCTCATATTTTTACTTGGCTAAAAGGCTAACCCAACCGGTTTGAAATACTGCCAGCCTCATGTTCAACCTGGTAGCAACCTGTTCAGCCTCCTATCAGCCTGTTTAGTTGACTATATGTTTTTGTAACCTGGCTGTCGACCTGCCAACCTGTTACGAACCTGTTCATAAGCAACCTGGCCTGTAGATTTTACGTTATTTTTACTTCAAACGAGATATTTGTTTCACCTAGTCATCTTCAAGCAACGTTCGCTGTGAATTGGTTTGATGTTACCCGTGACCGCCACAGTTACATTCTTCTATGTTTTTGTGATGTCCACAGGATGTTGGCTATTAGAGACTTTAGTTTCTGAAATAACGCAAGGCTTGGAATAACGAGTTTCTAGATAAAATCTGAATAAATGACGGATAGATTACTAATCGATTTTTGAATACTGTTTTCAAGTGGAATAACGCGACCCTTTGCTATCCCACTGAAATATATTTCTGGGCGAAGAAATTTCTATTCCAAAGCCTGAGCTATTCCAGAAACTAACCCAAGGCTTGGGATAACGATTATCTGGATAAAATCTGAAAAATGACGGATATATTACCGATCTAAATTCTTTTATTTTACTCCAGCAAAATATCGCTATTCCACTGGAATGTTTTTCTGTACGAAGAAAATTCTTATTTCAAAGCCTGGGTTATTCCAGAATCTAAAGCTCTCTACTGAGAGCTTTAGCTTGTGGGATAACGCAAGGCTTTAATAAAAAGCGATTATCTGAATAAAATCTGAATAAATGACGGATAGATTACCGATCGATATTCTATAAATTCATTCCATTGCAGAAACTAAAATTATCAATTGGCTACTTCGAAGTATAACCTATAAGAGGTTAAATGATTTATTTAAGGTATCAAATGGAGCATTCTTTTACATATGGGTACGTATGAACTCGTCCAACGAGACCATATTTATATGTGATATAAGAAATAAAACAGGAGAAACAAATAAAAGAGGACTGAAGAAACAGTGTTCTTCCAGGGCAAGTCCTTACTAACGAATCACATAAAAAGTTGGAGTTTTTCTTTAGGTTGAGTGCCGCATCTGGAGAAACTCTGGATTAAAATCCAGAGAATTGACTCCAACGCCCACCACTAACTCCAACAAGACCTGCCTGCTCTAGTCGAGCTGATGGTAACTTCTCACTAATGAAGATGAAGCTCCATCTAAACGTGTCTGTGGAAGTACTCTTAGTAGCAGCTTTCGCTGCTTTTGCCAAACTGAAAATCATCTGAGCTCTTTCTTTAGCAGATTGGTTTGACTTTATTTATTGATGCTTGCTTGTCTATTGCTATTCTACATTCTTGTCTTGGTTAAATACTATCGCTCGCGCGATCGAACCCGCTCGCCTCTGCATTGGCGGTTGTTCATCACTCGCGTGTCAAAACACGGTCGAGAGAATATGCGATGCTCCTCTTACGACGACATGACGGACGCCCGGCACGGCGCAGTCCACGCCGGACACGACGTCTTGCGGATCGACCCCGTGCATTGGCCTGAGAGCGGAGCCATCACCTTTGCACTGATAGACTCATGGCCAAGGAATTCCAGTACGTCCGGTAGATCGCGCGCCACCGGGTGGTTCAGAATGTCCATGACGATCTGGGCCAGCACCTCACGACGCTCGTCCAGTAGCGCCTGGTTGTCGGCCATGATGAGCGTCATGAGACCGTCGGCCGGCAACGGCGTCAATGCGTCGCCCATGACGGAAACCAGCGCCGTGTGGAGCTGCTTGAACTCGCTGAAGCGACGACTGATGACGTACTCGTGACTGAAACCCTCCTCCACGGGTCCGCGCGGCGACGAGTATGTGTTCGTGTTGCCGCGCTGTACGCGCAGCACGTACATCCACGCGCTGGTGGTCGTGTCCTGCACGACTTCGGTGATTTCCACCTGCTGCTGCGGCATGAAGCTCTCGTACGGCATGGTTGCGGTGTTGGAAGAGTACTGAAGATAAGGAGTAGTGTAGGTAGTGGAAGTATGGGGCAGGTGCTGCTAGCTTGTGTGTTGCTAAGTGTCTGCTTGACTTTGCTGCGGACTGAACGTTTGTTGCTGCAGAGTGATCGAAATGTGCAATGGCAGCCAAGTTGCCTCGCACCGATGAGTTCTAGCGCCAACAGACAGACGACAGCTAATCCTGATGGGACTGTGACCGACAATCGAGGAAGGGCGCACCTGGTCGACAGCTATGACAGTTAAAATGTGGAAAAGTGGATTTTCAAAGTCGGCTGTTGGGCTTCCTTCTTTTTTGACTTGGTGTTTGTGAGCGAGAATGTCCCGGAATCCCAGAACATTTGACAAACATTGGCCTCTAGCCACAATTTTGAATTGCAGTTGCAATTGCGGCTAGGCGTGCCGAGGTTGTGAAGCAGAATCGATGTCGTGGTTGTCGTCTCGCCACTTTATTTGCCCTGCTCTCGCTGCTTTCGTGCGGCTCGGCTGGTGGCAGTGCACGTGTCATACGGACCGATGAGCTCCGAGCTTGGAGCCCTGAAGAAACATTTGGCAACAAGTCGCCAACTCCCCTATCTGCGGCACTATACATGTACAATGCAAGGAGTTTGCCTCTGCATCTGATGCCCGAATAGCGCAGCGCAGTAATATTGAAGTATTAATACCTGATAGGTGTTCTAGAACCGGAAAATCAGGGTTCAGATCAAATCATGGATAAAAGTGGATGCATCCTCGAATACGTATCGATTTGATCCCAACTCTTGTGACTTCCTCCAGTAAACAGGCGCCGATAAGGGCAAGAGCTCCATAGCCGGTTTGCATTGGACTAACCATCGTACCATGGTGTCGAGCTCATACCGTCGAATAGCACCACTGGCAGTAGTAACATTTAGCGAGGCATAGGCGGCACCGGCCGGAGAAGCAAATCAGAGAAGGCACGCCATGCTGATACGGTGCACCCCGAGTCTGGCGCCAGGGGACTGGGTGGAGCATAGATTGCCACTCCCCTCAGGGGAATGGCAATCTATGCACGTCGTGAGTTCTGTGAGGTAAACTTGCCTCTCCGTCATCACCAAAGCGTTTGTGCTTTAGGAGTTTTCTGTGGCTCGGTAAAACATATACCCTGTATAAAACGATGGAAAATTGCAACCGCTTCGAGATAAACTACACGGATGCATCGGAGGCACATCTAATATCCGAGAGAATGTGTTTGTCTGAATTCGATCGATAATCGCAGGATTCGGGTAAAAGCATTACTTACGAAGAGATTGAAAACTTGACGCTGAGCTTGCAACACCGCCAAAACATCAGCGTTTGCAGATATATACCGGCTAGCGTTTTTTTAAAAGCTGCAAGACTGCTGCCGTACACATATTGTTGCGAGTCACCAGCAAAGGAAAACTTCTGATAGGCAACGAAGCAATTCTCTGCATGACAACAGAAATTGAATTTGAATAGCCCGAAAAGGTCGGCACCACACGTTTCGCTGCTGCAAGTTCAAAGAAGGTATCGCTTGTAGCTTATCTGCCCGCGCTTTGACGTTGCTCGTGCGCTCGCCGTCGTATGATCCGGGCTATAGCGCGTCATGCAGTTTGACTCTATGTCCGCATTGGACGGCCTGTAACTTCAAAGATAAATGCATCGTTGGTCGAAGGCATTTGTAGCCACGCGGCGATCGCTGCTATCGAGTTGGTGACGGTGTGCTTTCCTTGATTTTTAGTCAGAAGGTTTGACAATTTTACCGGCATTTTGAGCGGTGCCAGTGCCGCAGCTGAAGGCCAAATTTTGCTTCTTTTTGTCTCCTGAGGCTGCAGATGTAAGAATCCTGGTGCTCTCGGCTTGAGGCACATGGTGGACACACTGACGTCACTCCCGGCATGGAGCCCACATCTGGCAAATACTCTGGTGGTGATTTTCCTTCACGATATCCATCCGAAAATGCAGGTTTGACTGCCTATTGTAACATTTGTGCTTCAACGGTTTTCCGATAGATAGGCCAAGCTCTTGTCCGATCCGGCCCGCGATGGGGACACTCGGGCATGTCACTGGGACTGCGGGCTCGATGTGTGGGTCCGGATGGCTCCGTTTCCAACCCTGTCCAAAACGAGCCAAAGTACAGGTACAAGACAACCCCAACAGCATATCCTTTGTATCGTTACAGTTTTGACAGTTCCTGGTGCGTGTCGTTATGGCGCGTTCTGTTACTAATGGCAAAAGGGGGTTTCTCGCGTATGTGGCGGTGATTTCATCTTTATGTTCTTGGCGAGACGGGTTTTTGGGTGCTATGCCCAAGCCGCCAGCACAGCCATGCTGCAGATGCCCGCGGAGAAGAGCGCAAGCTTCTCAAAGGCATTAGTCTCTTGGCTTGCGTTCTCCTCCGAAAGTTCGTGGAACGCCAGGTAGATGAAGCTGCCGGACGCGATGCTCAGAGCCACAGCCTCCATAGTCAACGCGCTGCTGCCGCGCAAGGAATCGGACAACACCATACCCAGAAAAATTCCCAGCGGCGTCATGCAACTATACAGCGTGAGCACTGCAATGGACCGTTGGTGTGCAATGCTGCTCTTGGCCTTAGCGAAATTCGCACCAACAGACATGGCCTCGATAAACTGAAAAGTTGGACAAACGTCAGCAAGTTGAAGTGTCACATATTTTACTTCATTCACTTCAATACCACACAGTCGTACCTTGTGGCTGAAAATGGCGACGGTGGTGGCAACTGCTGTCCGATCCATCGAGTGGTTTACTCCCAATGCAAAACCCGCAATTAAAGAATGGACCGAGAAGAGTGCTGCTAATAAATAGGGAAGGAAATAGCTGTCGCCAGAGAACACAATGTGCTCGCTAACTGTAGCTTCCGCGTCATTGTGATGATGCGCTTCTTCTAGAAGCCCCGTGGCAGCCGTTTCGTACTCCATCACTCGCGTCGGCGCCTCGTTCACAACCTACTAATTGTCAGCTTGTAAGCACGACTCGTATTAATGCCGCCGCAAACACTATCAACGAACCTTGACTCCATTCGGTGTAAGCAGACACGTGTTCTCCTCCATCTTAGCTGCACGGTGGAACATCGACGGCGACGGCACACTGCCACACGAGCAAGAGTAGAACTGTTCCTTGCCGTCCACCGACATCGATCGACTTCTCCATCCGAACGACGTCACGGACGGAATCTGTACTCTGTACATACTAGTCTCATGGTCTGGACGTGCGGCACTAGCCACAGCCATGAGTTTGCCCGAGTTGCCCATGTTCAGTAGGTCCACGCTCCAGACGATGAAGCAGCCCAGTGCACACAGCAAATAGACGCTTGGGAACGCAGTCATCCAGTGTGATGGAGTGTCCATCCTCGCCACCACTTCGTCGTACAGTTTGACGGCGTCCGGGAGTAAATGAAGCAGCCCGGAGCCGAGGAACACGCCGGCAGTGGCGAATGGCAGCTTCCGACTCAGCAGGTTCTGCGCCGTTCGGGTGCCACGGCTGGACACCCACAACGGCAGCAAAGCCGACGCCACCGTGATCACCAACAGCACCAGCATTGCCGTGTACTTGAACACCCGCACGGTCTCCATTGCCGCGGCGTCCACTTCCGTCGCTGCCATAGCTAGAATGTGAGTCACAGCTATCGACAGAATTGCAGAGGTTGCTTCGGATGATGTGAGACGCAGTGCTGGGTATCTAGTAATGGGTTTACACCTGTAAAGTTAAAAAATCTAAAAATATAACGGGATAAAAGTCCATACCAGGAAACAAATATTTAACCAGCCCACTCTCACCAGAAAGAACACGGGTTAATGCCCTGACACGCGTGTGCGACAGAAGATCGCTAGTTGAACGACGATCCCCGTCGCACGGTCCGCCGACATTCTTCGACCAGCAAGAATGAGGTTTGGGTGGCTGGTGCTGGGGGCGTGCTGGCGCAGGGAAGCGACGGTAGGGCCACTGCCTTCCACTGGTGAAGCTAGATGCCGGTATTGACGACCTTGTCTTGTGCTCTAGCGCTGCGTTCGTGCACCAAAACGGGGCAGTTACGCGTGCCGTGCGAGGACCAACTGCTGCTGGGGAAGGCCGACCGCTTCCTGCTCACGCTGTACGGACACACGTGCTACACGATGAATATCGTATCGCCCCAGCCACTAGAAGTGCTGTTCTACGACTCGAGGGACTTAAAAAGCGGCCAAAGCGTGCGCAAACTGGAAGACGCTGCGAACGGGACGGACGCATTGGCAGCGCTAGGAGACAGCGGCTGCCAAAATGTACTAAGCTGTGTGCAACTACAAGAAGGGTTGTCCAAGGCATCGGTATACAATCTAATGATCTCGCGCTGGGCTAATGTGACGGAGGAAGGGGACGGTCCCATACCGGTCGATATTCTGCTGGAACACTGCGACCCGGTTTCGCCGTGGCACTACGTCGGTAGGGTAATGAATTATCCTGTCTCTAAAACTGTATGCATGGTACTGATGTGCTGTTTAGGTCTCGTGGTAGTTGGCAGCATTGGGTTTACATCAACCATGTTGCTGCTGTGCGTCGTGGGCGAGTTTGTGCTGGGGTTACGGACGATCACTAAGCTGCAGAAAGCAGCACAGCGAGATCAATTTGTGGAGCTCGCACAGATTGACCCACTTAAGGCTAAAAGCTGCGAGAGGGAAGAGGCCGACGAGGACTTGGAGGAACCGACTGCACCGCTCATGACAACGATGATATCATCGGATTCGGGGGTAACGGGGAAGACGACAACGGAATCAGAGAAAGAATCTTCAGCATAAGAGAGCATTCTTATGTTGTTTTAGTATGGTTAATGAATGTGACGTTCAATCAGTATCCTGCCTGAACATGTACATGTACTACATTTTAGAGCTTCGTCTTGTTGTACAGGTAACTGAACCACGCATCACTGATGTGTGGGTCGATGTGCTGCAAACTCACCAGAAAGAATCCGAGTCTTCAACCCGAGGAGGTTCGTTTCTTCTCCCTTAAACTGAAGTCGTTTCTGGGCCTTCATGTGAATTCGCATCTCGTCCTGGTTGGTCTCGTCGATCTTGAGACCTTTGTCAATCGACTTGAACTTGTTGTTGTCATCCAGATTGAGTACCGTGAAGTAGCTAGCAAACACGTTTAACAGTCAGCTCAAGAGCATCTAAGGGTGTGGATGCATAGAACTTAAGACCCGCTGTGTGACTTGCGCTCTCCGCCGTTGATAATAGAGTGGATGAACACCTCCACTTCAACTTCCAGGTGGAAATGACTGCAGCAGCAGGATAAGTAAGCTTATCCGAAATCTTAACCTGTATCTTCGATACCAACGTACTCAACGTGAACAACGCGAGCTCGCATCCGGACCATGTCGAGCATTCGAATCGGCAACTTGAAAAGCACCCGGTTCATGGCGATGGTCACCATTTTCTCGGATCTGGTAAACTTTTGCGCACAGTGCAACGCAACTTTATCCTGACATTGCAGCACAATTTTAGACCATATCCGCGTTACCACAGGATAACACATACCATCCAGACTAGTAGATCGCCCCCAAAAACTGTATCGTGCGGGTTAAGATTGCGGGGCAGGAAACAGTTGCGTACTTCGACCGTCGTATCACTCACTGCAGCATTTTCAGCTTTATTCTCGACTGCCGTCACATCCGACTTCTTAATAAACGGCAGTTCATTCACTGCATCCTGCTCGTGTCTCCACTGGAAGGAGAGATCTTTGCGTTGCTTTGCCAATTCGCTCACTTTTAGACAGTAATCCGCACGATCCGGATCGAACAACACTGGTAGACATTCTCTCGGTCGTCCAAAGCGATTGATAGCCACCATCGTGATGATCGCATCGTGAGTGTGCTGCAAAGTGTCTGCCGTTAGATCATGCCGAAATACGCGCACTTGCACTGCCATGGACGATTTTCCGAGTCCAATAACTTCTCCTTCCAGCCGAACGTGGTCTCCATGGAATACCGGTTGAACCATGTCCACACGGTCGAATGAGATCGTCGCTGCAGCTCCCATCGAAAGTCTGACAATCGTCCGAGCGTCAGACCAAAGTTGTTGTTGGAATTTGGGACTTAAAGACTGTACCGATACGAAATAGTCCCTGCCACTACGTCCATGAGTGCTAGAATGGGCCCCGCGTTCAGTAACTTTCCCTTCTGGCTTTCATCGCCCTGTTAACATACGATCAAAGATCGATAACACACCTTTAATTCAAAACAGTAGTATGTGCCGCACAATGATGTCGGTGATGACCGAGCGCGTGTCCTGCGGTCGCACTTGAGAAGGCATTGAGCGCATGCGCCATAGATCCTTAACGGTGCCCACTAACGCTTTTAAAGACATGGATTAGTGTGTGTCGAGGGCCGCACGTTGGGTTCTGTTGTTCGTATCGAACGGTCTTTTTGATCTTTTCGGCAAAAAAATCGAATTTCGGTTCAAAATATTTTTTTTCGGTTTTTTTGTGGGTTTTTTGTCAACGTTGCCATTTCACCATGGTCCTTCGGAACTCGTCGCAAGTGGACTACTGTAAATGACTGGCTAACCAAGCTTGGTTGTGCTTTTGGTTCTTGCCTTTCGCGTTGGGCATTTCCAATTCTTCAATCAATGGGTCGGGTACGCAAAGAAGGTGTGTGGTCTCATTTCAAGGATCATCCCAAGGGGAAGTATAAGACTCGGCGAGTGAAGTGTAATCACTGCACTACGACCATGTCTGCGATGGTCAAACATATGCAGCGCCATATCATCAACTGCGAGAAGATATCGCGTGGGTGGGGGCGCATGCTACTTGAAGACAACGTTTTGGTGGAGGATTTGGAGCGTCAGTCAGAATGAGCTCAAGCTTTGCGATCTATATAAGAGAATGACGACAACATTCTCTTCCCCAACGTAGACGACGATTAAAGAGCTGAGACTGGGTGCAGCAGCGCTGGAGATGGAGCAGAAACGCAAGCAGGGGTAATAACGAGTATTACCCAAAAAAAAACATGACGGCAAAAATAATAGGTTTAATATATGGTTTTTTTATGTATAAAAAAACAACCTATCTATAGTTGTTCGTCAATACTTGGCGTAACGTTTCTTAACGTGACGAATCAGGATAGTGTCAGTGTAAATTATGTTCTACAGAATGATTTTTAACGTTTATGGCGACCAAAGCGGATGATAAGGACAGCGATGCCTGCGAGTTGTAGACCCGCAGCGTATGCTACGAGGATGAGCATATTGCGAGAAACGTCGACCTTCTCCATGCCGTAACTTTTGAGCAGATCCCAGGCTTCTTCGGTGTCAACCTGTGAGAAATGCTCGTACATGAAGGACTCGAACGAGTACGTGTGGAAGGCCAAATAGTAGCCCCATTTCCAATACGTCGGGATAGCTGCGAACGGAACCATGAAACCTTCGCACAGCATAAACATACCAAAGAGTCCGGCGCCTAGAGCGATACCCATGATGTAGTGCGGTACAGCGGCGCCCAGTAGATGCATCATCGACTCCGAAGTGACGAGTGACAGCGTCAAGTTAAGAAGAAATGACCCGAACGAGTGGACGCGAGCGAAGTACACAACGATAATTGAGGCTAATAACGAGATAAATGTGATGCCAGGCAGCGCACCAAGCAAGTTAGCAGTCGTGTAACTTGCCAGATGCAGCGAATGGGAGCGAACTTCACGTTCTAGGACAGCGCGTTGCTCCAGTAGCGCTGGAAGTGCAGCAACCGACATGAAAACCAAGAAAGCTTGCACGTAGAATAGAAGTGGGACCATCGCAGAACTGGTGATCTCACTGTTCGAGCTCAGATACATTGTGCCGACCATGAAGGACAGCAACATGTACATGAGCACACGTAGCCAGAAAACCCCGGGGTGGCGCCAATTGTTGGTCAAGTTTCGATGCAGCAGAACAGAGAACTGATCAAGTCTCGAAGGACGCATCGCTCGTAGCAAATCATAGTTGATGAGGTTCATTTCTCCGAGATAGCGATCACGAGCTATTTCCACGCGTAGACGCTGTGGCTCAGAGCCGTCTTCCAAGGCTCGAACGAATGGGTCGAGACCCAAATCTGCGTGGAAATCTTTGTTCACCAAGTGGACAAAGTACTCAGGTACGTTGGGCACACGTAACCTAGCGAGAAAAAGTGGTTTAAAGCGGCCGATGCTGCTCCAAAATACACGAGCTGGCCGTCACTTAGAATCGCTAGATTTGTCAGCATTGCAAACACCGAAGACGATGGCTGGTGGATCGTACAGATGACGTTCTTGCCACTCTCTTGACACAGCCGTTCGATATGTTGCATCACACTTCGAGCCGACGACGCGTCGAGGCCTGAAGTGGGTTCATCAAGTAGAAGTAGAGCTGGATCAGAGAGCAACTCCACAGCGATACCGAGTCGTTTACGTTGACCTGACGAAATCCCTTTGTGGAAGACATCGCCAACATTCGCGTACATGCAGGACCGTAATCCCATTGCGTCGATCACGTCTTGAACACGAGATTCACGGGTTAGAGGAGGTACGTGGGATGGTAAGCCAAGGCCTGCAGCGATCTGTAGTGTCTCTAGAACGGAAAAAGATCCAAGGAACGCCATGTCGTGTGACACATAATTCATGATCGAGTGGAAGGAGCGTGGATCTCGAGGTCGTCCGTTCACGTCCACTATCCCCTCCACACGTACACCTTGTTCTCCGTGAGGAACTCGGTCTGCTAGTACGTCGAGTAACGTGGTTTTACCTGCTCCGGAAGGACCGATAATAGCTGTTAGATCCCCGGGACCAGATCGCCCCCATACGTTGTTTAGGATCTTGCGAGGCTTTAGATCAATTAGGTTTTGCTTCTTGTTGCGCCTGAATCGTCCTGGCACCCACGATTTCTTTGGCTGAATAATGTACGAAACATGTTGCCAACTGACGGTGCAGAGCTGCAAGAGTCCGCGTTGTCGACGTTGCGTAGCTTCGAGCTCGGCCGTATAGTCAATCGACTTGTCCTTGGACTTGCTTCCTGCACCCAAACCACGAAGATAAATGGCTGCGGTGACAGTGTCCAGGCAGCCGTAGTGGGCGTCGCGACCGGATGAAGGCGATCTCAGTTCACTTGTCGGTGTTGTGAGACTGCATCGGTGCCCAGCTTCACAGTCAGCGATGTCAATGGCGTCTCCGACACCTGATGAAGTGATCGAGTTGTCGTCCGACGGATCGTTCGGGGTCGGTGTGAGTGGCGTATTGCTAGAGAGGCAAGTGTCGACCATAGACCCTGCTAGTCGCCCCCGCATACTGACCGGGAGATGTGCCAATGAGGCTACGTTTTCGACAGTGGTCACCTCTCCGAAAGTCGCTGCCCTGGCATCTGGCGCTCACTTGATCGGTGCTATTGCTGCTGGATTCATGGTCGGTGCTCTCGTAGAATGAGCGAAAAGCACATGCGCGGAAGGGCGCGGCGCTGACTACAGCTCAGCATTTTAAGACGATGGCCGAGGCTCTTTCTGGGGAAACCAAGGCGTTACGACGGACTCAGACAATATCTGCACCCTCTATCACTGTCGCGTGGTTAGAAGGTTGCGTCGATTCGATAATCTGCACCAGAATAGATGCCAATCAATTCGAATAGAACTGCCATCGTCACGACTTGGTAAACCTCGTTAACACTGTTGATGCGTCCTGCCTCAGCCTCAGGCCTGAGTGAGGCTCAGGCACATGATACTGTGGGTATTGATAAAAGTATCTGCGACGTGGAGGCCTTTAAAGCCAGCATTAAAATGCTACGGTCGAAATATGGATATTGCGTTTGTGGACGAAGTGCATGTATTTCGACGATGTTCGACGCATTGTGGTTGCAACGGCACTGACGACCAACTGGGCGCTGACTCAATTAGCGTTTCTTCTCAACTTAATGGTCTCGTTATTACGTGCTGTGTGCCGGTAATCAATCGACTGCACTCGTTGTGGACAGAGGGGATCACTTCTCGAGCACGAGTTGAAACGCAACAAGTATCACAACCGACCTATTCGCTATCCACCTGTAATTGGCTAAAAACTAAAAATTACGGGGTGGTAGGTATGAGAACGCGTAAAAATTAACTTAAAGTCCAGATTCGCACACCAAAACTGCGTCACCACAAATATAGCGTGCGACCACATCACACTATGGAGACTACACATATAGAATGGATTGCCTGTGCACGCCGCTTTTTTCTGATTCCTCGCACAGACAGGGGTTGGGATGGTGATTTACAGCCAACCATCGCCGCACTTCAGAATCGAGAAAGGAGATCACCCAGCAAAGACTCGGCCGGCCGACGCGACTTGCAATGCCGAAGCGTATCGCCTGGCAGGACGTGGCCTCAACGCTACCGGTATCGAAGCTGACAGAGTGCTGACTGCCTTAAAGACCTACGAGGTCTCGAAGAGCAATTTGTACGCATGTACAGTTTGCCTCGACGATGCCCCACACAAGATGAGGTACAGGATGCTTCAGTGCTCGTCAACAGCGTGCAAGGCGGCCGTTTTCTCTGGTGTACACGCTTGTTCTTGGCGCGGCAAAACCCTCTCTTGCCAGGTTAGCGACGCAGTGTCAATATTTGAGGTGGGAGAGCACGCCACAGCGTTAAACTCCCCCAAGAAGAAGAAACTGACGGAGCTGCAGAATATATACTGCCGTGAGCTCACGGCACAACATCTGCGGCCTGTCCGTATACGCAATGCGATGGCACGGAAGTTTGGAGCGGTGCTTCAGGACTTGCCAAGCTTGGGCACCGTCCAGAACTTTGTCAACTACTACTCCAGGAAGAACTTGTCGCGGAATGACATAGTGGACGATTTGAGGACCTGGATCCACGCGAGGGCGTACACCTGACGAGAGGCCGTGTCCCAGACCTTCACATTCGCCTGGAATATGGATGAGCAAGGCAAGCCAGTGGTCGGAAACGGATCGGAAGAACGGCCGTTCGTTATTGGTTTAACGACCAAGACCCTAATGCTTCGGCTAATGCGACCGCCGGACAACTACATACTTCATGTGGACGCGACGTACAAGTTAAACTATCGCGGATATCCGGTACTAGTGGTCGGCATCTCCGATAGGTCGCGTAGGTTTCATCTGGTGGCGCTGTACATTGTATCAGGTGAAACACAAGAAATTATACAACCGATGCTCATGGCGCTAAGGCGTCTGTACTGCTGGCTCACCGGTCGCGATCTAGCTGTTCGCTACGCGATGGCCGACGCAGACAAGGCCCAGTATAACGCTTTAAACGTCGTTTTTGGAGACAACCCTCAGTTCCAGAGCCTCATGTGCTTCTTTCACGTGATGGAGAAGGTCTACAAGGCGATCAAGCAGTTTCCCTCGTTTGTATCGTCTAATATTACCCACGACCTGTACGACCTACACTTCACCCGAACACATCTAGACTTTACGAGAATGCGGGACGCTCTGCTAAGGAAGTGGATGAACGTCCCAATGTTGGTGGACTTCGCTCAATATATGAGTGGCCAATGGTTTTTTTTGAGTGGCCACTTCAGTGGCTGGCAGTTATACTCAACACCCAGTGGCTTTGCATCAACCAACAACCCGGTCGAAACTTTCAACGCTATCCTGAAACGAGACTACACTTTACGTCGGCGTCTAAAAATGGGTGCGCTATTAGCGGAGCTGGCCAATTGCTGCGAGGACCAGTCGGCAAACGAGCGCCCATTTCAAATGGAGGTGCTCCCGTCGGAAACCCTCACACGTCGCGTGCGGGAATTAGTCCGAGAGAATCTATTAGGTCTGGGTGGGGAACAACCTGGCGCTTTGGAGCCTCCTGGGTGCATTCGAATCGCCTCCAGGCTCGCGAAACGGATTGCGGTTGCCCCTAACAACCGGTCAGAACACGGCATCGCTGTCTCGGCTCAAATGGGACTTAACTACGCTAGAATGGAGGTGGAAGGGCAGCCCGAAGGAGGCTGGAATGTAGATTTGAATCGTCGGTGGTGTGGCTGCAACTACTGCTACGCATTTGGGGTCTGCGTACACGTACTCTATGCTGTACGAACACAAGATTACATTGACCCAAGCGGACGTGAAATCCTAATCTCTCGCAACATGCAGAAGAGCAGTGGCGCAGCGGCTTCCAAGAACTCAGGGCAGCGAGGAGGACGACCAACGACGGTTGGGCCCGCACTTACGTTCTGAGGTCTAACACCTCTACAAATGGAGCTGGTTCCTGTCTTTGTTTAGATTTCCGTATCCACAAGGTAGATGAACACTGTGTATATGAGGAATCATGCATAATAAAAGTTAGTCGTTTCCCGATTTGACATTACAAAAAAATATTGGATATCTTTTTAAGAAACCTCTTTCTAAAAGATTCCTCACATAGAGTTGTTGCGTACAAAGCTGTCATTAAGGATGGTCTTTCATTTTTCATTGTAACTCTTCATTGTGAAGTCCTGGAATGATTTGGATTATTTAGGCTATCTAAATACCACAAATTAGCTTGGGCCTTCCTCATTCCAGCAAAAATCGCAAGCACACTTGAACCAGATTTCGTCTCCATAGTGGACGACGAGCTGCGCGCCCGCAGCGACACTCTCGATCATCCGAGCGACCACCTTCACGCTGGACCTGTTTTTCATCTCGAAAAACTCGACGTTTGAAGTACATGCGTGCTGGAAGAACCGAGCGATAGATCCACACTTTAGTGCCTCCACGTAGACAAATCTGCCTCGCTTGCTTTTCTCGTTCAGGAGCATTGTGTAGCCACTGTTTTGTTTTTTTTGCCTTTTCTGGCTGGCCCTCGTACAGAGCTTCGTACTCACAAAGCGCTCCGTTGTATTCGGCGATAATCTCGCCAGCAAATAACGCCTGCGTCGTGTACACGTTCAGCCCCAACCAGTGAGTATTGTACAGTTTGAGGCCGGGGTGCGTACACGGCGCGTTACTGCAATTTGCGTCCAGTCGACAGCAGTCGGGGGAGCAGTAGATAGTTATCTTAGCATTGTTACAGGTGTCGGCGAAGCAGTCATCGTGGCACACGCAAGCGTCTCCATCACCAATGTCATCGAACGTAAGCCCCACAGGTACAATAGACTCGGTGATAGGCTCCACCCAGTCTGGCCACGCTACCTCCTCCATTACGTACGTCTCGTACACATTTATTTGGGTGACGTTACTTGGAGGAGGGGGTTTGGGCTCCACAAACACCGGCCTGTAGCTTCGTACGGCGTTCAGCTTCGCTCTCATGCTCGGCATCCGCAACAGTTCCTTCATTTTCTTGGCTTTGACGGAGTGGGCGTGATGGATGCTTGATCCGCTACGTGTTACAGCACATTTCTTTTGGTGTCTTTTCTTGCGTGATCTCGGCACGTGCCAAGTGCTAGCCCGCTTCTTTGCCTGGTGTCGTATCTTCGACCGTTCCAAGCGCGTGGGAACGGTATTTAAATACTCAGCCACAGCAGACACGTCCAGTAGCCCAGCACCTTCCGACAAGAGAGCGTTGGGTGGTGGAGCAGTACAAAGTGCTGGAGTATCCGACTCGGATCGGCCCTCGGGTTCTTCTTCTTTGCAGCGAGGATACACGATGTCTGGACCAGAACTTAATTCAAAAACCTCCTTGGCGCATGTGCTGGGACCATTGCCAAAGTCCACACTTCGTGAGGCTTGACCAACGATGGCTGAATCCGTGGGTTGCTGAGCGTGGGCCACCGTACGATTAAGGTGGGTGCTGGACCTCTTATTAGCGTCCATAAACTGCGAGCTTGTTAAATTCATTGCTGAGGCCATTGAAATAGGCGCTTGGTCTCTTCCCTCATACTCTTCCCCATCGTTGGCGCCGTTAAGAGCCACTACGTCTCTTGTAATCTCAACATCTGAAGAAATGGAGGTGTGGGGCGGGCTCGCACGTTTTGCAATGCCTAAGGCATTCAATGAGCAGGGTGTAGCATCGATCTGGTCACGTATAGCGCGGCCAATGTTCCTTTGACCAGCAAAGACTGCGTTGATGATGCCGTTCACCTTATCGCACAATAATGAGCAGTCGGATTGAGCGTCGAACATCCCGGACACGAGGGAAAAGGTGCGGAGCATGCGCCATTTACCATTGACACGCGCTCCATCGCTGTCGCTGACCCGCACAATCATCTGAGTGAGCTGAATTAACTCGTCTGTGGTTACTTTGATAGGGTGTTCCAAGCCAGGGGTCGCGTCGACCCGTAGGATGACAGCCTCGCGGTACCCACGATGGTCGCCGGCGACGTACATACGCGTGTAGTAGGCGATAGTATCACCGGCATGTAG